ACCAATGCAATGGTATTGAGATGGGGTTTTTAAAAAAAGCTGTGAGTAGGCCAGGAGGGCTTCTCCCTCATAAATGGGTGTGAGGCCTTTATATTAGGTCATCAGAAAAGTCATGATGTGTTTTTCTGTGCAAAAATGCATCCTGACTCCCCCGATGAGGCGTCACACAGCATTTGGCTGTCTTGCCCTTTCTCCTGCCACAAGCCACTTTAGGATGCAGCATTCTTCTGCCCCAGAGGATGCAGCCGTAACCAAATGATCTTGGACTTTCCAGCCACCAGCGCTGTGAGAAATAGATTTCTTTATAAATTACCCAGTTTCAGGTATTCTATTCCAGAAGTAGAAATGGACTAAGACCTCCTCCCTGCGAAGAATCCACTCACAATATTGTGATGAGTACTTCACTTTGCAGCACATGTACTTCCTTAGAAGCACCTACAGCAACAGTCAAGAAGTTCTCTAGTTACCCTTGATGGATTAGCTATACTCGCCTCTGCAGAGGAATGGGAAAGGGAAGTCCCTTCTGAAATTAAACATACCATTTCTTGGAGCAAGTGACTGTTCATTGTCTCTAGGGGCAAAGCCACAGTGTGGCAGTTTTTCCTGGTGAATTTGTAGAAGTTTAGCAGTCGGTCTGTATTTAGGCTCTGCTTGTATTTAGACTCAAATGAACTGTGTTCAGGGGCCAAATGATGGCGCAGCAGTAAAACAATGATTTGTAAGGTAATCCAACATGGGAAGGTTCCTGGTTCTGGCCCAGGGACCTCTCTGAGTATATACCTGGCACATTATGCCCAGCTGGCTAAAGGCTGGGGGATGGGGGGTGTGGATCGTGGTGTCAGGACCCTATTGGGGATGCTGTCTTTCACTCATGGAAGAAATACACCCTACACACACACACACACACACACACACACACACACACGGGCTGGCAGATAGCTTGGTGGTTAAAGGCACTGGACTCCCACATGGTTGACCGTGGTTTGAGTCCTGAACCTGGAGGCTTGTTTTCTCACTTTCTCTCTCTCTCTTACTCTCACTCTGTCCCTATCTAGTCAAATTAAAATAAATAAAAATAAAATAATTCTTTAAAAAAACATACAAATTTGGGACCAGCAGATGGTGTTGCAGTTGTGTCACTGGACTCCAACATGGACAACTTTGAAGTCCCAGACTGGGTGGCTTGAAACATGCCGGGTGTGTGCACATGCATGCCCAAGATCCCAGCAGGAGACTAGAGAAGGGATTATGGTGTGGCCACCCCTCCTGGCGGGTATTTCTTACTGTCTCTGTCTCTCTCAGGAGAGTGCATGGGCCTTAAAGCAAAAGCCTCTTTGAAAAAAAAAAAAAAAGAAGTTGAAGCATCTGATTTAGAAGTGGTATTAACAGTCAGGGGCCAGAAGGTGCTGTGGTGGTGAAGGTGCTGATTTCCCACATGGCCGACTGTAGTTCAAGTCCAGGACCTGGCAGCTTATTTCTCATTCTCTCTCTCTCTCTCATTCTCTCTCTGGTCAAATTGAAGAATAACAATAAAATTAAATATTTTTTAAAAAGTGGTATAACTGTCTAAATATACCATAAGAAATGGCTGTCATGGAATTGGATAGTCAGGTTGGCATGATTACAGAACTTGATCTCTGCAGAAGTCCAATCTACTATACTGTGAGAAAAATGAATTTATTCTCACAGGTTGTCTCATATGAGCTAAGTCCTGGGCTGAATAAGCACTGAATGATAAATGTGTGAATAAGATAAAAGCAGAGGTCTTTCTGTAGGTACACCCGTGTATGAATTGAATATTGACATAAAACTAAGACAACCTGAGGCATCGTTTTAGGGATGCCCTTGTCTGGGAGCAGTAATAGAAGCAGTTCTTCCCCTGGCTGGTGTTTGGCTGAGTGGTGCCTAGATTTCCTTCCATTTTTCCTTCTAAATGTTTTTCAAACATTCATTTTCTTCAGCTACACTAATAACACTTCTTCAGGGAGCTGTGCATGCTCTATATAAGTGCCTGCAGATGCGTGTATAATGCCTGCCTGCACGCTCAGCAAATGAGTTGGTAGAGGAAGATTTGGTCAAAAGCACGCCCACTGTTTTTCCCAGTTCAGGGCATGTTGGCTGATCACACCGGCTTTCTTCTAAGATGTTTTCCCCACCCGAAGCCCTAGAGGATGCGGTCGGTGTTAAGCTGCTGCAGCAGTCTGCCAATGGCAGTAAGCATGATTAGCCCTGCTTATACCTGATTCTGTCCACTTATGTCTTGATTTCTATTTAGGAAATCCTTACCTGCACACCTTATATTTTGTTAATGTGGTATTTTTCCATCCAAGATCTCAGTATTTACTCCATTTTAGGATTTCCTTGGTATAATTCGAAACTATATGAAGTGTTTCCCCAAGAGAAACAGTTGTATTTGATAGTGTGATGGTTTTGTTGGAAAATGTTTGGTTATGTTCTGTTTAACTTTACCCCAGTCCTTTGCTGAGAGCTTCAGAGCCGCGTGTACAACAGTAAACTCCTGCTTCCACACAGATGTCCCAGTGGCACTGCAAACTCAGTATGTCTTCAAGTCCTGAACCGAATGTTCTGCAAAGCGCTCCTCCCACCTAGTCTTCCTGCTGTGTTCCCAGTCTCTATATGACCACCATGCCGTTGCACAAGGTAGAAAATGGGATGTAAACTTCGATATCTGTTGGCGTCTGCCCCAGGGCTTGAGTCTAGCTTAGTCATGATTAGAGGGCTGCTGGTAAGGAAGAGAAAGAAGACAAGAGAAAGCCCTCCATCTTGCGAGGACCAGGGAATTGGAAAGAATGAGACGAGATAGAGTAGAAATGGACACAGGCAGCCTGAGCCGCTGCTTGAGCTGCTGCTTGAGCCACCCAGACAAACTGGGCCTCTTTATTTATAGTACAAGGAGACATTACACATGTGTGTTTCATGACACTTCATAGATTCATTGCCACGTTACAGAAAATAAGCAGTTAACAAATCTATAAGGGCTTAGTCATACTGGGCCAGGTGTATCCCCTGGTGATAACCCCATCAAGAGAAAGTCCCATTTTCTTTTCTAATGCAGAGAAGTCTAGCTGAAGAAGCTAAAGAACTTCTCCATAAGGAGAGCACCACCACATTCAGAGAAGGTTAAAGAAAATTTCAGATGCAGAGCAGGGATTGGACTTTGCTAATTGGGGTCAAGATGTTTCTTGAAGTCCATCAGATGTGTCTGTTGGCATGCCCCTAGCAATTTCCACCCTTGTTCTGTCTGCACCGAAGATCAAGGAAAGGACAGGTTACAAGGTTCTGCCAACCCCCAGAAGGACAGGTGGTGTTTGCTTACAGCACGTCCCCACACCTCAGGTTCTCTCTTAAACGTGTCCTCATATATATATATAAATATATATATAATTTGCTACAGGGTACATGTGCTCTCTGGAGAGAGAGAGGGAAAGTGAGAAATCACTCCTGCCAGAGCAGACGGCCATACCACAATCCCTTCTTCATTCTCCACTCAGGATTTTGGGTATGCACACAAACAGTAATTCAGCTGATTGTTAAGCATCACATAGATGACATTTGTCCAGGCACTGTCCTTGGTAACAAGGAACATGACGAAGATCAAGTATTCTTCCCTTTTGAAATTTAATTCCTAGATGTAGTAAAGGCACGCTGGGATCCCACGGCATTCACTGTGCAGTATTAAATATCTGTCTCAATATGAAGTTGATCCCTGGTAGCAGCAATTCAGAGCTGGGCCTCAGATCGGTGCCAATGAGCTGATCGCATTGCTTTATTGCCTGAGAGCAAGTTGGAGCAAGAAGACCCAATGATTTTACCTGGGTTAGCTCCGCCTAAAGTGCAAACGTCCTTCCAGCCTCCTGCAAAAAATAGTTAAGGAAATCTGTCCTTGCGCTCCCAGGATCGGTATTTACGTGTCCAGGGAGGTCGCGACAGAAATGTCAAGGCCCGTGGAGCTGACGCAAGGAAGTCCAAACTGACGGGAACCCAGAGTTTGTGATTACTCAATCTCCTCTTCATTTCCATTTAAAAGGGGGAGGGGGGGGGTGAGCACGATGGCGGCCGGCAGGTGGCGTGGTGGTTAAGGGCGCTGGACTCCCGCTCACACGATATGCCGTGGTTCAAGCTCCGGACACGGCGGCTTGCCTTTTCGCTTTCTCTCTCGCTTTCGCTCTGTCCCTCCCTGGTCAAATTAAAATAAATAAAGTGTAAAAATAATTCTTTTTAAAAAATACGCAAAACGGGAACCAGCAGTTAGCTTAATGCCTATGTCGCTGGACTCCCACGTTGTCGACCGCGGTTCGTGTCCCGGACCCGGTGGCTTAAAACTCACGCCGGGCGCGTGTGCGTGCGTGCCCAAGATCCCGAGAGGAGAATGGAGGAGAAGGGATTGCAGTGTGACCATCCCCCCTGGGGGGTGATTTCTCGCTTTCTGTCTCTATGTCTCTCTCTGTCTGTCTGGCTAGCGCACACGCCCTACAGTGAAAATCTCTCAAAAAAAAAAAAAAACGCAAAACAACAAAAAAGGATGGAGCCACGGAGCCAACGCTTCCAGACCAGCTCAACCCAGGCGGTGGGACCCAGAGATCACACGGGGACAGACCGGCCCGCAGGCGCCTGCGCACCGGCCTGGCCGCAGCCGGAAGCCCCGGGGTCAATACACTTTGGGACTCCTTGACAACGACCCGCTTACATTTTTCGCCTCCCCATTGCTCCTGAGCCTATCCGCGACCTGAGCCATATCGGAACCCCGAGGGGTTGTAGGATCTGCCTCTGGGCCCCTCGCTCCTGGCCGGCAGCGCCGAGGGCAGCTCGGGTGGAGGGCGGCTACGGCGCGGGTCCTGGGTTTCTATGACGACGAGGGCGTTCCGGGGAAAGGCGAGCTCGGGGCCAGGCGGGAATCACGGTTTGTGGTAGGGGGGTTGGTGTCAGTGGGGGGCCGGTAGGAGCCTAGCCCGAGGAGCTGCGGGCTGGGGAGACCGGGGCCCGCTCCGGGACCTGAGCGCCGCGGACGAGCGGAGAGAACCCGGTGTCCGCCAGCCGGAAAGACGGCCGCGGAGTCGGGGACGCTCGCCGGCTAGAAGCACGTAACCCGCCGGGTTCTGTTTCTTTTCCCTGCAGGGCAGGGTACGGCCTGCGCGGCTCTGGCCGGCGCCGATCTGTTTCTCATTTAGCTTCCCGGAGGATATTTCGAATGAGCAAAGAGAGCGAGAGGAGGCCTTGTTATGGCTTTTCCGAAAACGCCCTCCACCTCGCTGAACTCGGCGTCCACATCCGAGGGCAGAAAGTTCAGTGTGTCTGCATCTAAGGAAGAGGCAAGAGGTAAACTGCAGGAATCTCGCGGACGCCGAGTCCCGGCCGTAGGCACCGTCACAATCCGGTCACTGCGTCCTTATGAGATTCAGGATACCTTAGTTCACTCTGCTTTCCTAACACAGATGTTTAATTACAAAACAAAAAAACAAAAAAATTCCTTTTACAGTATTTTTGAGTCAGTCCCCTTTTTTTAAAGAATTATTTTATTTATTGTTACTAATACATTATTTAGTAATTTATACATTATTCAATTATAATTAATAACATTAATGATATGTTATTAAAAAAAGGTCATCATTATTATTTTAAAATATGCTACAGAGCATAAGAGAGAAAGAAAAGCCACCAGATCCAAGATTCAAACCCAGAGTCAACCATGTGGGAATCCAGTGCCTTAATCATCATGCCACCTGCTGGCTCCTGTTCCTAATTTAAAATTTCACCATAAGGTCCGTGCTCTCACTAGAGAGAGACAGACAGAGAGGGAAAGTGAGGAAGCAAGTCTCTAGGTCTGGAACTCAAACCGTAGTCTTCCATGTGGGAATCCAGCATCTTGACCACCACACCACCTGTTGGGCCTCAGAGTCCCATTTTAAGACTTTACCTAAGGACTATGTCTTGTAATTTTGTTTCAAATGCTGGTGAGTTTTATAGTTTTAAAATTCCTTCTGTTTGGAGCCAGCAGGTGGTGGGCCGGTGAAGGTGCTGGACTGCCACATGGCCGGCTGCAGTTCAAGTTTGGGACCGGGCAGCTTCCTTTCTCACTTTCCTTTTCTCTTTTTCTGTCTCTCTCTGGTCAAATTAATAAAGTAATAATAACAAACAAATAAATAATAATTTTTAAAAATTCTTCTATTTATAGAATAAGTAGTGGAGCCAGCAGGTAGTATGGTGGCTGAAGCACTGGACTCTCACGTGTTTGACCATGGTTCAAGTCCCTGACCTAGCAGCTTGTTTGCCGCCCCCTCCCCTTCCTGCCATCACTCTCTAGTGAAATTAAAAAATAATAAATAAAGTACCAATAGTTAGAACCTGATTTTATGGAACCTAAAAAGAAAATAGTAGTGATAAAAGAAACACATACAATGTAATATAACACACCAATTTGTGTCTGGTTTTAGTAATTTCCCAAATGAGAGTAATTCCTGAAGATTTTCATTCATAAATAGGTAAATACAGATCTACTCCATTAACAATCAGCTAGAGTCTCTTTACCCCTTGTGCTAACCCTTTTTCCAATAATCTCACCACCTTGCTTGTAGGGAGGATTTTGTCGAAGTCCTACCCAACTTTTTTCTTTTTCTTTTTCTCTATTTCTTCTGATATTTTGACCCCAGCCCAAGCTCTTTTGAGACAGACATTTAGTACTATAAACCTTAGAAATGTTGATGGTGATCAAAGTATGGTACTTACAGAAATGAATATAAATCAAATCATACTATGTGAGGATAGATTTAGAACAGCGGCAGTGCAACCCTACTTGCCTGACTTTGGAGGACTTTTCCTGTATTAGTGTTACCACCCAGCCTTATGACTCCGCCTGCCCTGGACAAGAGAAGCAGAACACTCTTTTACACTTCTTAGTTCACCAGTTCACTCAGAAACAAGTCAAAGTAGGTCTGGATTTCCAATATTCCCAGTTACACTTTTTTACACTAAACCCAGATCTTTTTCACCGGATAAATGCCTCAAGTTAACAGAATTGTTCTCCACTTTTGAATTTATATAAGGAAAAAAATAATTTGACAGTTTGGGGAAGAGATTTCTTGTCATTTTCATATTAAGGGGAAAACACATTTGTTCCCATCATCTTTTTTTGGAGAGGTTTTTGCTGTAGGGTGTGTGCACTCTCCAGAAAAACAAGAGAGAGACAGAAAGCGGGAAATCACCCCCTGTGGGGATGGCCACACCACAATCCCTTCTCCTCCATTCTTCTCTCGGGCTCTTGGGCACGCACACCAACGCGCCCGGCGTGAGTTTAAGCCACCGGGTCTAGAACTTGAACCGTGGTCGACTACATGGCAGTCCAGCGACGTAGCCATTAAGACATCTGCTGGTCCCTGTTCCCATCATCATAAGGCTATCCCAGTTAATTGAGCAAGTAAAGTGAAATAAATTTACAGCTTTGAATTTGGAATAATGCAGTTTAATCTTTATCTGAGTTTTTGAGCCTATATCTGATGTAATATGAGTAGGGCAGGCAATATAAGAGTATTTCTCTTGACTAGATTATTATTTTTTTTAATTTGCTGCCGTATGAGTGCATTCATTCACCAGGAAGAGAGAGACAAAATGAGAAAGCATCCCCAATGGAGAATGGTCACACCACAATCCCTTCTCCGTTTCTCCTTTCCTTTGGGATTTTGGACATGAACATACACATGCCTGAAGTGTTTTTTAAGCTGCCAGGTGCAGTACTTGAGCTGCACTCTTGGAAACGTGGGATCCAGCTGCCTTAACCACCATGCCACCAGCTGGTCTGCTCAGTAGTTTCAATATTGTTTGTTACCAATCTTATCAACTGGAAGCAATATTTCTGTTAAGAAACATAGATGGGGACCAGTATACGGTGTAATGGCTATGACGCTGGATGCCCATGTAGTCGACCGTGGTTCTAGTCCCAGACCCAGTGGCTTAAACTCAACGCCAGGTGTGTGTGCGTGCGTGCCCAAGATCCCGAAAGGAGAAGGGATTGTGGCCTGGCCATCCCCCCTGGGCATGATTTCTGTCTTGTCTCTGTCTTTCTGCCGTGCATGCACACATGCCCTATAGCAAAAAAACTCTCCAAAAAAAAAAAAGAAAAGAAACAGATGGGATTGATGAGGCAATCTGAGAAATGCCCATGAGCTCTCCAGAAAATTACAGTGAGAGTTTTTATTTTCCATTACTTTTTTAGGACTTCCTGAGCTAAAGGAGAAAAGAACTACAGTAGATCGTTCAAAACTGCTTCCTACTTCCCTACAGAATGAGTCTATCCCTGAGGAAGTTCTTCTTTCTCTGACTTCTGCAGCTAATGCTGGTCCTTGTCCTGAAAACTTACTGCCTCCTAAGAAAGTTAAAACCCCAAAGGTGTGTATATACTTGTGTAGAATACTTGGGGACATTATCTTTTTGGTATCTGATTCAGTATTTATTGAGCATATACCCTTAAATTCTTTTAAAAAGTAATCAGGTAGATTGAAAATTCAAACTGTTTGTATGCAAATTTCCAAGTCTCCCATATTTCCGTTAAGCTGTTTCTACTCTTAGTCTTAATACTTTTTCTTTGCTATACAATTGTTCTAGTTTTGATCTTTCTCCATGATATTGAATGAGAATCTGCTTTTTCTTTTTTTACCGGTTTCTAATGCTTGAGAAACTAGTGAGATTTCATTTGACTATAGCACCCTCTGCTGGTACTCAAACATTTTTGCTTTTCCTTAGGGTACTCTTCCACGCCCTGTAGACAGTGTCTGGCATCACCCTATTCGGAGAAGTAAATTCAAATACTTGATTGATCATCCCGTCTCCCTAACAGGAGCTGGAAGGTAAAGAACAAAGATAGTTGCATAGATGTAGATAAATAGAGTCATCTTCTGTTTTTATATGAGAGACAGGATTGGAAACATCAAAGGATCATAGATCATAGAATTTGCAGCACCTTTGATAAATCAGAGTACAATCTGCAAGGGCAGAGGACTGCTCTTTTGTGTATGATTATTGTCAGAAGGATGGCAGTAGGTGGTGACTGGACTTATTTTGGTGTGTTTGAATTTGTTTTCTGCATGCTTATGTACTTTTCCCTAGACTCTTCTATTCCTTATTGTACCCTACTAACAGGGACACGATCCAACAGGTAGAATGCCTTTAGTGCATCTCTTATCTGGATATATATCTTTTTTTTGCACTTTAGAGGAAAGAGCTAGGTAACAATGGCTTTGCGATATGGAAAACTTTGAAGAACAAGTGCTCAATTCCTGGTTCTCTTCAAAGAAAACCCTTAACCTTTATAGTGTTTCAAATCAATTAGAGAATACTAATTGTTGTTTTTGTATGACTCCTAAAAAATTGTAAACGCCAACATTTCCCATATGAAGATAGTGACTTCATTTTCCAAGTATTGTCCATTTATCAGTTCACGCCCTGGATGCCCCTTGCTTAAATGTCACTTCGTGAAATGTATAAACTTGCCATAATTGGGTAGATTACTTGTCTTCTTTCTAAAGTTTCTTTTTCTCATCTGCAAAAAAGGGAATGATAAAGTTGCTCAATTCTTTTTTTTTTTTTTTTCTTCTGAAAAAAAATTTGCTCAATTCTGTGAGCCTCCTGGGAATATTGTAAAGCACAAGTGAGATAGATAATGGCTGCAAGAACACTTGTAAAACTATTAAAGTGCTATTTAAATATAATGCCCTGGGGCTTTTGTGTCATAAAGTGTCAGTACTTTATTTTGTGCCTTCAGATCATGGTTATAATTATTAGTAGTAATAATTATAGGATTATAATTATTTCCTATAATTATTACATCTAATATCTTACATCCTGTAAGATGTTTGAAGTACTTTGAAAGATTAATTAGCCATATCTGCATGCAGCAATAAACTCACATTAAAATTTTTTGGCAAATGACTGACTTCTAAGTTGGGATTTTTTAAATGTGAGGATCAGAGATAAAATGGTACTTGCCTGTACCCCCAGTTAAAAAACATCTTAACTATAACCCCAGAACCTGTGAATGCCTGTCTAATATGGCAAAGGAGACTTTGAAGATGTGATAAAGGTTAAGGACTTTGAGATGGTGAAGTTATCCTATGTTACCAAGGTGGGCCCAATCTAATCACTTGATTATTTGAAAATGGAAAAGGCAGGCAGTCAAATGGGTCAAAAAGGTGGGACGGGTCAGAGAGGTGAGATGCACAGAGGAGGAGGAATACCCGAAGTGTTAAAGGAATCCAACCTCCCATTGCTGACTTTGCAGATGCAGGAGGAGGGCATACAAACCAAGCGATGCAATTGGCTGTTAGAAATTGGGACTGCTGGTGAGTAGTAGTCCCAACTCAGCTGACAACTATCAAAGAAACTAGGCTCTCAGTCCTGCAACCACAAGGAACTGAATCCTATTAACCACCCAAATGAGCATAGAAATTAATCTTTCTCTAGAGCATGTGGAAGGAAATACAGCCCTGTCAATACCTTGATTTTAGTCCCGAGGGACCTGTGTTGGACTTCTTACAGAAATGTAATAAGTTTTATGGGAATTTGTTATTGCACTGATAGAAAACTGATATTTCTGTGCACGACCAATAATATTTATAAGTGGTAACTTGTCCAGCAACTTCAGATATCCAGAAGATAGCAGTAAAATACAAAATAACAATGCAAACATTATCTAAGTAATCTATTTTAACAGTTCTATCAGTCAAAAAATAAATCACGCTAGACATTTTAAACAGGGAAGAATTCAATGCAAGAAACTGGATGTTTACCAAATTGTTAGAAAGGCCAAAGGAATGTGTGAAGGAATGCCTTCAACCATACATTTTGCCTGTTTCTGACTATATGAAATGTTCAGAGTGGGCAAATCCAACATACCTGATAAAATGGTGTGTGTGTGCGTGTGTGTATGAAGCATTCATTGTATTTAGCTAACAAAATAAAGTTTCATTCACCAACTTTTCTAGCATTTATTGGTGTGATGTGATGACCTAGCATCCTAGGAGCAGATTTTAAAGATACTTGGGATTCTCTCCAGCCTGGAAGAGGGGGGAACAGAATCATGAGGACTAGAATATAAGAATCTAACATTTCTTCCCAGAATATATCCAGAAGAACCAGAATATATTAGCATAGCCCATCAGCAGCAAAGATATTGTTTGTAATAACATAGATACCTTTAAAAATGGTTTCTGATCAGTGTTGTATATTTTAGGATCTCCCTGGGACACTAGAATAGGCTTGTTACCAACACCCTTACATGCCTCATCAGTTGCCAGATGACATTGCCCTCAAATCATAGTCTCTCCCATCATTTTCACCATATTGCAACCATTATAATCATTTTAAAAGGCAAATTTAAAATGTCACCCTATCCCTAAAACCTTCCTACCTTCTCTTAGAATAAAGGCCAGTTTTTAGCATGGCTCACAAGGCTTTCCGTGATCTGGTCACTGCTATCTAACTTCAGTGCCTTCATTCTTCATACTTCAGCCCTATAGACTAAAGTTCTTTCAAGTCATGAAAGTCTCCCTGTGCTGTCCTTTCTCAGGGTCTATACATATGCTGTTCTCTCTACCTGAAAATAGTTATGCTTTTTAGTTGCTTACCTAAGTCCAAGTCAATGTTTTCATTCTCACTAATTGTCACTACTTCTGAGGCTTTCCCTGACTCAGTCTAGACCCTATTAGGTGTTATTATTACTAGTTGTTCCCAGAGCATCATGTTATTCATCATAATAGTCATCATATGGGGACCAGCAGATGGGATAATGGTTATGTTCCTGGCCCCCCACATGGCTGACCGTGGTTCAGTTCTTGGACCCAGCAAATTGAAACTCATGCTGGGTGCATGTGTATGCATGTCTGAAAATCCTGAGAGGAGAATGTAAGAAAGGGATTGCCACGTGACCAAACCCTTGGGGATGATTTCTCACTTTCCATCTGTCTCTGTTTCTCCAGTGAGCACCTGAGCCCCATAGCAAAACTATCTCAAAAAAAAAAAATTAGTCCATTATATTGTCCTTTGTAGATCTTCTATAATGTTAAGGACTCAATAATGGCAAGGACTGTGTCTATTTACTTATTTATTTTAATAGTTTTATTAGGTTGTCAGAAAAGTCATGGTATTTTTCTATGTAAAAATGCATCATGACTTTTTCAACAACTCACTATTTCCCTTTCATCTAGCATATTTTCTGTCACTTGTAATATGATCAATAAATATTTGCTGAGCAGATTAACATTAATATTTTAGGCGTTTTCTTGTATAATCCTACAATCTAGGCCACCTAAATCTATTGGCATAGTTTTCTTTTTTGTTTTTGTTTTTTTTTTAAGTTTTATTTCTTCCATGAGAGGAGATAGAAAGAATGAGCAAGGAAGAAAGATAAAGAGAGACAGCATTCCCAACGAGATCTTCACACTATAATCCTACCCCAGCTAGCCAGAATCCAGGGCACACGTGCATGCCAAGTGTGCACAGGGGTACCTTGGGATGTGAACTGGAAGTGTTGTGTACTACCTGTACTGTCCTTGCTGGCCTAACGTAGTTTTGTCTTGATTATAGACATTGAAAACACATCTAGTCTGGTATACCCTTGGATTTTAGTCCATATCAAATATGCATTTAAAATTTAGTGTCTTGGAGACCACCAGATGGTGTAGCAGTTATGATGTTGGACTCCCACATGGCTGACTATGGTTTGAACCCTGGACCCGGTGTCTTCAAAATCATGCCAGGTGTGTGTGTGTGGGTGCCCAAGATCCCAGGAGGAGATGGAAGAGAAGGGATTGCTGCCCTGGGGGGCGATTTCTCACTTTCCCTCTCAATGTCTGTCTGTCTCTCTCCAGAGAGCACACACATCCTAAGACAAAAACCTCTACTAAAAACAAAAAAAAAAAAAGATACAGGAATAATCCTATCAAAGGGCCATAAGACCTTTATAGAAAATTATATAACGTTATTGAGAGACTTAAAAGAAAATCTGAGAAAATAGAAAATGTGCCATAGTCATATGTAGGAAGTATCAATTATATAAAGTTGTCAGTTATCCTCAAATTAATCTATAAATTCTGTGCAAGTCCAATTAAAATTCCAACAAGTTTTCTCATAGGATTTGACAAGCAAATCCTAAAATTAACATGGGAGACAAAAAGACTTAGGAGAGTTAGGCAATTTTGAGGCAACAGAGTACTTCACAGGTGAGTAATACAGTGTAATGCCACTTAAATAAAATGGCTAAACTTTCAAAATTATACTGTATTTTGTTTATGAATTTATGTATTAAATGTAGATGAAGCCATACATGGTAATTATAAGTAACAAATTCAAGATAGAGGGAAGAACAACTTTTTTTAAAAAAACTGAAGCAATTTGGTTACATCGATGAAAATTACAATGCATAATATCTTTTACCTAGCAATCCCAACTCTAGGAGTTTATTTTACAGATATACTCACATGAGAAATGACATAACAGCAAGAACACATTGCAGTGTTATTTGTAAGAGCAGAAAATATGAAAAACCTAAATGTTTAGCATTAGGAAATTAATAATGAATACAAGGACACTTTGAAAAATTCATGGAAAAATAGAATTAAAGTATTAACTTTTGATGCAAAAAAATGCTTTTTAGAGTTTATATATTTCTCCATGTTAAGAGACAGAGTGACAACACCCCCAACAGAATGTTGATGTTGTGATCCACCCCTACCTTCAGCCAGTCCTGGATCATGGGCCATGTATACCCAGTGTAATAAGGGAGGTCTCCAGACATAAATCCAGAACCTTCCCATGTGGATTAGTGTAGGAAGATCCTGGAGTGTTACATTTT